TATTTGTGCATTAAAAGAGAAAAAAAAATTGAAAAAAGAAAATGTAGAGGATGACCCTATGGCCTCTAGTTTCGCAGACCGGGTGAGGCGGAGGCGCAGCGCACCTACGCTTCGCCAACTGGGTGTGGCCAGGCGGATTTTGCAAGTTTGGCACACCGTGCGAGCTGGCACAGCTACTCCTCTTTCCCACCTCCGTCCCTCCTACCTGCGCAAGTCGGAAAGAGGGAGAAGAGAAGGCGAGGAGTGGGTTTTACACACATCACACCAATCAAATGAGCCCCTCTCCTCGCCCTTAAATGCGCTGCGAGAAGGCGTAATGAGAGTTTACTCAATTCGCCATGGCAGAAGAGAGCAGCAGCGTCAGACGGCCAAACTTCTCCCAGGAGGAAACTGATGTTTTGGTCCGGGAGGTCCAAGCTCGCAGTGTCCGAATATACGGAACTGCGAGCAGACCTCCACGGGCTGATGATGCAAAGGTAGCCTGGGAGGAGGTCACCACAATTGTAAATCAATGTTGCGTTTCTCTCGTGCGCGCGCGCTCTCTCTTTCTCTCTCGCAGTCTCACTCTGTTTCTTTTCTTTTGACTTTTCTAAGATGACAGATGCTGAATATATACTCCCTATCTGATGCTGTGGCTGTTTGTGGTTGGCTGAGAGGGATGTGAACTCATTAGTTTGCAGCTGTGTTAATCAAATCAGGTTGGGTTTCCATTACGTGTGCCAAACGTGCCAAACGGTGCCAATCCCCTTTGATCTGACATCAGATGTGACGGGACAGTCGATATAGAGATACATTTATGTGCTGATTGCAGATAGTTGCATTGAATAGTATTTTTTGTGGGTATTTATTGCATCGTTAATGTGCCTGACATTCTGGAAACCTGCCTGTGAGGTTTTGGTGACGTGTGCGCACTGTCCGCCGGTCAGCCAAACTTCAGCTTACACCGGCTGCTCTTCGCCTGCGCTGACAGTAGACCTGGTTTCAGTTGGCGAGCTTTTAGCGCACCTTCGGCGAAGCCTTTTGGCACGAAACTGTCACTGCGCCAAGCTGGATCTGTCAACACCTCCCCCTGCTGCGCCACCACACCCGTCTCAGCGCACCTCGGTCTGCCAAACTACCAAACTGAGCGCGCCTCGGGTTGCGCTGCTCGAAACTAGCTCTGCGCGGGGTTCACCACCCTGCGCCACCCTGCGCTGCGCCGGGAAACTAGAGGCCTATAACTTTATATGAAGCTGAAATGGTTCATGGAGTTCTATTATTCTGCTCCTGCCAGTTCTTCAGCAATTACAGACTGACCCCTGAAGACCATATAAATACCCTCATCATTATTTGTCTCGCTGATGTAGCTTAAAATGAGGGTTTTTTGTTATTATCATAGTTAATAATTGTCATAATAGAGCATAATGTTTTGGCATTTGAATGGTTTCTGTAGCTGAAAGTATGCAGGAGTAGTAGTCGATCAAAAAATGTACAGGAGAGGTATAATTTTTGACCTGATTAATGCTTAAATGAAGTCTCTATAGAATAGTGTATAGAGTAGCATAATTTCAAAGTGAAGTAAAATAAAGGTTTGAAGATTGTTTTCAATCCGAAAAAGGTCTGTATCTGACATTCATGGGTTAAACATTAGCAAGAGTAGTAGCACTACTAGAACTACTATTAGTAGTAGGAGAATAGTAGCAGTAAAGGTAGAATGTAGCAGTGCTCTGTACTGGAGATTCACATGCCAAACATAAACACACACACACACACACACACACACACACACACACACACGTGTGTATATGTGTGTAAGCAGTTGTTGCTATTGTGATAATTGGGGACAGCATGAGGGAGGGGCAGACAGCAACTTGGTCTAGAAAGCTCTTTTAATGGAGATTTAAACTCCTAAACACCTTTTTATGCCAAAACTTTAAATTATGTTTGTGGTGTCAAAAATGTGAGCAAATGAGCAGGTAAGAAAACAGACACAATCTGCTGCCCTCCAGAGATTTCTGGTCCCAGTTAACATTGAGTTCTAAGGTGGCAGTGAGTGGAGTTTCTTTCACTTTCAGGCTCACTGTGCAAAAGTTCATTTGCTTCCACAGCAAATTGTTTGAAAGACCACAAGTTGTCCTCTGATTTGAGCAAAGATTATGTATGTAGAGTAAAAACTGTGGATGTGAGAGCAATTTGAAGAGAAATGTTTGAGAAGGTCTCTGCACTCTGACGGTTGAGTCCAATACACCCATTATAAACTCAGAAAATGTCTGAAAACAGCTAAAATGAAAGTTGCAGAGAAAAGTTTCAGGATTGAATTCAGTGAACTGGCCAATCTGAGCTTGGCTCAGGCCAGCTGATGGTGTCACCTGCAACTCAGCTGATCAGCTGGTTTTAGAATATAAGGCTGGTCACCTGTTTCTACAGCCAATTGGCCTGTGATTTCTGCTGATCAAGTCAAAATGGCAGCAGACAGCGTGTTCGCTTGCTGTAGCAGGTGCTCCGTCCCCATCAAGCTCTTTGTTTCTGTCCTCACGGTGTGCTGGTGTTGGATGGTGGGTTGCTGCTGCTTGCTGCTGTTTGTGCTTATGTTGATGACGCTGCACGCGCGAGCCACTAGCGGTGGATAAACAGGAAACAGTTGATAGCAGTAATTAGCGAGCAGCTAGTAGCAAGAGGGAAACGCAAACCTGACAGACACTGTAAAGATGGGCAACTGGGGAGACAAGGAATTGCGCGCTCTCCTTGCCCTCGCATATGAAGAGGCCATTAACCATCAGACGACAGGAACAATGAAGAACGGGCCGACTTACGAGAGAATTGCCGAAGAACTGACCAGCCGCGGCTTCCCTCCCACGTCACTGTTTGCGTCACAGGCTGAGCTACACCTTATGTTACTTGCTCACGCCCCCCATTGCACCGATAAAGGTGCATTCTGTATAAACAAAAGTAGGTAGGCGGCATTTTGCCGCACTCCCCGATTTTGTTTTTATACTGACAATGCTGAAAGAGGACTGATTGGGCTTACCTGCAATTTGCACAATTCCTGTCTAAAAAGGGCTGATTAATTGGCGGTGGTTACTTATATTATTGTGACGTATTTGTTGTGACTACATTGTTTTCTTCCGGTATATGTAAACACGTAACAGCTGCCCTGCCCCCTATCCAATCAGAAACCTTCCCTGCCCCAAACCTTGCGTGGACCCGAATAAAGGCGATTAAAAGGCCATTAAACTGATCTCCCGTGTAAACCCTCATTCGGAATGAATATTGCTTGGTTTCCACCAAACACACCAGAGTCTAGATTAAGTGTCTATGCTATAGTCCCTGACTCCCAAAAGTTCCTGCTCAAGGGGTAGTTGGAATGAAGCAATAGTAATTGCTTTATTGTGGTCGTGTACAAAGAACCAAAAGATACTCTGGAGATTGTCTACTTTAGAATTCTGGAGTTTTCATTCTCCTTTTCCACCTCTGCATGTCTCCTTTGCATCCATTCATTACATCCATTCAAAAGGAAGCCACTCAGCTGGCAGTTACAAAGAACAACAAAGTGTTTCTTTGTTGTTTCATTGTGTATAAATGTATGTGTAAAACAGCATTGCTTTCAGTCCTCACTAGGGATCCACCAATCCAGTACATCGTATTATACCATATTAAGTGGAAGGGGTATCAGCTGTGATGTGAGGGATCCACATTAAATGTACTTTCTTTGTCAATGACATTGTCAGATCTTTTTTTTCTCCATCAATTAAATTCATGCAGTCATGCACACAGCAATCCCTCACCTCATGTTACCTTAAATAACCACTCCTCCACTTTTGTATCAGATCGGTACTTAACATCAGCAGATAAAATCAGTTGAGGTACTTAAATGAATACTGGGAGAGAAAAAGTTGCAGCTTCACAGTTGTTTAAATGGGAGAGAACTGAGATTTTAGTTCGGGAAACAAACTCAGGACTTTTTGATTGTAGTCACAATAGCAGTGAAGTAAATCAATGAGAAACTTACAAACAGAAAAGCTCCACGCTGAAAAACAAGGTGGACACCAGTGTTCCTTCTGACAAAATGGTTGTTTGTATTTGTCATCAGCTTTCCCTGTTCCTTTGCTGGCTGTACAGTACAAGATGGATGATTTGGCCCACCCCTTAATAAAAAAAAAGTTTGATTAGCAAACTGAAGGTTGAAAGTCATCTTGGTGATGAGGATAATGAAGCTCCATTCCTGCAGCTGTATGACCCCCCACACCTTCATAATACATGGAAAAGTTTGAACCGAGTGATTCTGTAGTTAGAGCTTTATTATCACACAACCCAGCAATTAAAGTCATCCTGTTTATCAATTAGACCCAAATGGCTGAGGTGTCAGACAGGTCCTGGATTAATTACTGATGACAATTAATGCTACGGAGAAAGCGAACTTAGACAAGCGAACATCAGACTGACTCAGTGTTGTTGTGCTCACTCAGGCTCTCCTCCCAAGAGACACAATAGATAGCAGCAGAAAGACTCATTTGAATGTTTCCGGGATGCCATGGTATTAATTGGAAGTCAGTGGTGCGGATGTTTGGGCAAGACTGTCAGAGTTGTTATTAGTAGTTGTCACAGTGTTAAGAGAAGGCTGCATTATTCTTTTACATTTATGTTTTTGTAATCAGGTGGTTGCCACACTATGGCAAACATGTTTCCATACAGATAACCAAGTACAAATAATTAGTAGTATTGTCAGCTGTGGATATTGGCAGTATTAACAAATCCCCATTTTTTGGGTGACATATTGAGCCATTGTTTTCAACAAAGGCAATGCACAAGAAAAAAAAGGTGCGTTTAAGCACATGTGGGTACTGGTACTGAATTCCAGGTACTGGTACTGGTTCAAATATGAATGGTACCCAACCCTGGATAGTGGTGACGACTACAGCTTTTCCTGTACAGTGAAGCAATAATGGCAGCAAAGGTAAAGACGATGATGATTATTCCAGTCACAGGAACCAACTGTGGCTCTTTTGTGCTTTTGTGTGCAGGTGAAGCAGATAATGGAGGAAGCAGTGACTAAGAAATTTGTCCACGAAGACAGCAGCCACATCATTGCTCTGTGCAGTAAGTACGCTTTTCTCTTTATCCCCTGGGCACACACACACACACATTGTCTCCCTCTCTTTCTCTTGCTGTCTTACACACACACACACACACACACACACACACACACACACACACACACATACACACACACTTGTTGAACTCCTCAGCAGGTGACTGGGTGCTGCTTCTTCGTCAAGGACACTGCTTGACGTCACTGCGCCTCTGACTATGCTGCTGCATCAATGGAAAGTTAATAATCACAGTGGAGCTAATGGAAACCAATTTCAGAGACAGGCTGTACAAGACCCAGGCTTTCTAAGCCCTAGACACGTCTGCATGTATGTGTGTGTGCGCGGGTGTGTTGGCCAGAGATAGAGGGGTTGCCCCTCCTGACTGCGTGGTTGAGCTTGCAGTGCTGTGTGAGTCACAGCTTCCACGCTGGTCAGACTGCCTGTAGCCTCAGATCAGCCAAATGACCGACGACACAGAAGCCGCATCTTGTCTGTTTCTATGGGTTAAAACACATAACTGCATAAAAACTACAAGATATATCACATGGATACTTGTTATTTTCACAAAGGATGTGGGTCATAGTTTTGAGGTGGTATTTATCTTTTATGAGGTGTGGCCAAGTCAGAACTGTGTCAGTGGGTGTAAATTAAAAAGGCTAATCCTCTGCATCTCTCCATCCACACTACAGTGTTAATGCCTGAGGAGCTTGAACACTTTTAGCATACAGAACAACTTTATTGTTAGACCAATGCATTTGGGCTTGTAGCCTTCATCAGGGTCATCTGCATGAAGGCTACACTCTCTGTGCACCTAAGACCTAAGAGAGGTTGTGTTGGAAATAATTTCTTTGCAATGTTACTACATGGCATTTATAGGTCCATAGTTACCCCAGTGTTTTGTTTTGTTCGTTCTCAGTCATGGATAGGGCTGGGTATTGACACTGATTGCTGAATTGATTCGGTTTCGATTCACAAGGTTTCAGTTCTATTTCTGATTCAATTTGATTCAATATTGATTTGATTGGGGATATTTCACTGACAACACCAATTTTAGAGAGATTCTCAGAGGGCTAATAATGTAAATCTTTCAAGTAATTATTTTGAAAAAGATTAAATGCAGAACAGGGTTAAAACTGAATATAACGTTGTTTCTAGAGCAGCAACATCAATAGTAAAACAGCAAAGTCTCATTTTAAACTCAATATTTCACTGGAAATAAGTCTAAAATGTCAGTCAAATAAATCATATTCATATGATCTCATTTGAAGTTTAGAAAGAATAAAGAACACACACCGTGTTCCAGTATCAGTCCACCTGTCCTTTCTGCTGCTGAGGAGTCAAGCTATTGTTGTTTCTGCTTGTTAGTAACAATTTGCTTTTAGCTGGAAAGCGCTCTGTGCTTGTTTATAAAATAATATTAGCAGCAGTGGATAAGAGACTGAGGACAGAGCAAACTGAAATATAACTTTCCTACATGTTGCTGAACAGGTGCAGTGATAAAGTGTTGGCTTTTTCCTCATGGAGGTTATATTGCACTTACAGTAACAAGCTTAGCTGTCATCAGCTCAGGTTATCTTCACATCTCTGTCTTCACAGCGGAATCTCTACTCTATAGCCCCTTTTACATTGCCAGATTTTCCGCGAATGTTGGGCCGTTTTGCCGGCAAGCTGCGAGTGTTTAGACACACAGAGCCAGATTGGCGAGTTTATCCGAGGTGTCCAATTTTCCGCCTCGTAGGGTAGACATATTGGCGGAACCCTTTTAGTTCAAACAGACCAAGGCAGCCTTCCGCAACGGGAGGAGCTGTTGATGAAGCCGCACATGCGAGCCACTGGCGGTGGATAAACAGGAAACAGCTGATAGCAGGAATTAGCGAGCAGCTAGTAGCAAGAGGGAACCCAAACCTGACAGACACTGTAAAGATGAGCAACTGGGGAGACAAGGAATTGCGCGCCCTCCTTGTCCTCGCAAATGAGGAGGCCATTAACCGTCAGATGACGGGGACGGTAAAGGACAGGCCGACTTACGAGAGAATCGCAGAAGGACTGACCAGCCACGGCTACCCTCGGAGTATGTCACTGTTTATGTCACACGCTGAGCTACACGTTTCGTTACATGCTCACGCCCCCCATTGCCCCGAAAAAGGCACATTCTGTATAAACAAAAGTTTGCTGCACTCCCCGATTTTGTTTTTATACTGCCAATGCTGAATAAAGACTGATTGGGCTTTCCTGCAAATTTGCACAATTCCTGTCTAAAAAGGGCTTATGTTTGTGTGTCTGTGCATAAATGTGGCACAGCAGCCCCTACACACAGACAGCAGGAGCAGAGGATAAAAGAACCGGTAATGTTGGAGCTTTTCAGTACTGCGGTTGTTAATAATTTAGTGCCAGTACACGTTTACTACTGGCGAGATTAACGGGGTTAAAGCTACTCCACAACTGTGGGGAAAAAGCTTATATTAAAAGATCAATCTTGGATTTTATGAATCGATATTGGGTCATTCAAATGAAGACCGATTGAATCAGATGAATCAATTATTTTTACTCAGCCCTAGTCATGTACACACAGACTTTCAGCTGTTGTGGTCCAGCCACAAAATTTATGTAACTACATTTTAAAATGAAGAACAACACAATTAGACACAGTCACACAGCAGAGGGGAGCTGCTTCTCTGAAGCTATGCTCACTGATCCCCTCCTTTTTGCTGAATTTAACACAACCCTCCCTTCTTCAGCTCTAGTCAGTGATGTAGATCCATCAGCCACTATTAGAGTGAAGTTCAGCTGATGACAATAGTTTGTAAAATGTCAAAGTGGCACCGATTTACTGGTTAAACAAAAAAATTGTTTGAGCTAGAGTTGACAGTATAATCCATCATTACTATACTGTAACAAAATATGATGTATAGCCTCAGATTATGTTACTGTTATTAATCTTACAGGTAAAACAGAGGATAGTGTACAAGAGAGTGTCTTTGTCGGCACATAGCTCTCACCTTGGCGCTATTGATTTGTTCCTCCTCTCCTTTTTCCTTTTGTTATTAGTAGTCTGCATTAAGCCTTTATTTACTCAGGATTTCTGTTGACCTGGGAGTTTTGAAGAGATCACTGGCAATGAACTCTCTCTACACCTTGTTAGATGCACTGGGACTCACTGACAAAACTGTGAGACAATATGAAGTAATAAGGGTGGTAATCACCAGAGGGTCCACGATACAATATTATTACGATTTTAAATATGTTGCAATATGCTGAGTATTGCAACAATATATAATGCAATATTTTGTGATTTATTACCTTTTTTCAACTATAAATTATATCCCCAAAGGAAACCTTTGTCAACATCTGTTTTACCGAATCAGAAGTTTTCAGTGTGTTCATCTCATTTCAGCTATTTTTTGTAGCACCAAAATGTATCTAGTGAACTGAAAAAAGGAACTGATTATATTATTCTAGTTGTAGTAGATCATTTATATAATTAAAAAAAATTGATAAACTGTGTGAAGATACTATGCTATATCGATTTTTTTCCACCACCCCTATAAATTAATCAACTGTGAGAGTTCTGTTTAACAGGCTTAGTGATGAAGTGCGATACTTTAAATTTACAGGATTAGCCAAAAACGAATATTCCTATCTGGTTATTGTATCTATAAAGATTTTCTCAGCTCAGCTGAATATCATGATATTTGTACGTATGCTGTGATCAGCTTTATCTGTATCACCCACCCCTAATTTGTAAGTAAGTAAATGGAGGATCTATTAAAGTAAGGTCAATCCAGTGTAGATGGACATAATCTTAGATTAAACCTTATTTCTTGTCAGGTGTTGATTTTAAAGTTGTTAATGGAATGTAGTATGGTATGTAGAGATGCACCGATCAATAGGCTTGTGACTGAAATCGGACGATCAGCTTGATCAGCCATGACTGGTGATTGGCTGATCAGTCTCAGATGTGGCTGATCCTGTGACAAGCAAATTAACCTGCACGATGGTTCTCATCACAAACGGCAGTACAAACAGTAACTGACTATTTTCAGAGCCGCTGCAACCAGTTCTCAGAAATTTTGTTTAATTTCCATGCATGCTACACATGATTTGAAGGCTACTGTGTTAAGCTAGCAAAAAGACTAAAGTATACCCAAATTTTTATTATTCAGCGAGTTAATAATTAGCTCAAAAGTGTAGCATAGCAAAGCTAATTCTAACTGTTTTATTTCAGTGGATGGAAGATGCTAAAACATTTAGCTTCTTAGTCTAGGAGGTATTATTCAGACTTTTGAAAAAGAAATCATAAATCAGAATCGGCTAAAAAATTGCAATTAGTGCATCTTTAATGGTATGGTAAGATGGTACAGTTTTTGGGTTTTCCCAGGTTGGTTTGCTAAAGCTGTACCGTGACAGTGGTCTCTCTGTGTTTGGCTGTCAGTACTTTTGCAGCTTTTACCTGAATTTCGTTTTTCTGGAGTTGAGTTTCACTCAGTTTCACTGCCTTCCTGTTTGTTCTTTCACGCAATCAGCATTTTTTAATCATCATTGATTGCTGTGCTGGAGCTCTGTTAAGTTACTGCTGATGCAAACCCAACATTGACTGCTGCTGCTGCTGCTGCTTCACATTAAAAGCTTTACACCAGAGAATCAGTGGGATGCTTTTCTTATGATAAAGTTATAGGAAGTGCAATGTGCTTGTCAACGAGTTCGCAGAGTTTTAAATATTGCAGGTTAATCAGTAAGACTTTTTATGCCTCCATGCTGGCCATAGCTGTGGCCGGAGGCATTATGTTTTAGGGTTGTCCATCCGTCCATCCACCCCATTCTTGTAAACGCGATGTCGCAAAGAATGCCTTGAGGGAATTTCTTCAAATTTGGCATAAACGTCTACTTGGACTCAATGATGAAATGATTAGTTTGTGGTGGTCATAGGTCAAGAGTCAAGGTCACTGTGATCTTGTCTGTCTCATTCCTATGAAAGCAATATCTCAACAATAATAATAATGACTTTAT